AATTATAAACATAATATTAATATCAACAATCATTTAGATATAAATATATTAATTATATTAAAATATGTGTCTCTTATTCATTCTTGTAAGAATATTATTTGTCACAATTTTTATATACATACTTGCAATTCTAAGCTTGCTAACTTATCAATATCATTATTATTTTTTAATATTTTTTTCCTACATAAAAAAAAAGAGTTCTTAAACGACAACAAAATACAGATACAATGTTAGATACATTATAAAATTAAAGAAGATTAATATCCCACTTTTTTCGACTCAATGAGCCAACTGACTCATGGGTCAACATTTGAAAAGATATATGTTTTCCAGCAAGTTACACAGATAACACAATGTAACACAGTATCATACGATTAGCTATCCAAATAAAGAATTTTTTTAAGCGGAGTGTCGCGACGCCAAGTAGTTTGATAGCCAATTATATGGTGTGTCATCTGTATAATGTGCTGAAAAATACCCATATACTTGCCTTAAAAGATGGAGAACTATTTTGGCTCATGTATAACTGGCTACAAAAAATCTAGCAGCCCTATCTCGCAATCTTATCTCGTAGCATTAAATAATCTTCCAAAGAAATAATATAAATAACTCAATTTGACCCAATTATTAATAATTGAAAAATTCGCAAAAAATTAATACATAATAATTTCTAATTGAATAAAACAATACGTTAATTTACATTCACGTTATCTTGTAAGAATAATAAGAAAAAAATGCATCTAATACATATACGATGAGTATTACATTTTGTAAGAAACTGTAGTTTAACGTTTGTGAACGATGGTAAGGACGATTAGTTTTTTCCGCGAAAATATTAATTACGTTAATATTAGTCGTAGAGCAAGAACAGATGAATGTGTAATTATCGAATACTTTATAATTATTACAACGCATTCGATGCGTGCTCTTAACGCGCATGTGTATCGTTCTCCTCTTTCTTTGTCAATATAATTAAAAGTATATAAAAGTATATAAAAGCATATAAAAGCATATAAAAGTATAACGTTGTTTTTTTCTCGAATAAACGATATCTTGTCGCGATAACCGCCTTTGTGTATGACATCAACGATAATCTATTTGAATATCTATCTACATCTCATCAAAACTCATCTTCTCGGAAAAATATACGAATGCATGTATGCGCGACATTTAGATGGAAACGTTAAATTCGATGCGCACCGAAACAGAATCGGACCGATGACTTCGGTGGAAATCGCGGTCCTACGCCGCGCTAGATGCGAATTAATACTTCGGTGGTAACTAGACCACTGACGCAATGACAAGTGATATGGAAAAAAAAAAAAAAAATACAAAACGACTAACGCTCCTCCCGGAAAATCTAAAGATTTAAATGTTTCGAATTTCCAATGGCGTTGCCAGACGCCGTTTTACTCAATCGACTTTTTGCGATAGCAAGGTCACGAGTATTATCGAGCCGCGGAAATCTATCCGCCTGATTATAGTCCTCCTCCCTCCCCCCCCCCCCCCCTCCCGCCCCGTCGAGTGATGACTAACATAAGAAATGGCGCTTTCTCCCGGAAACCTTCGCGCAATAACATCGAGTCCGTGAACGACAAACTTGCATGCAATTACGCGCGTGCAATATCAGCTGTCGTTAGCAAGACTCGCGAGCGAAGGAACGCAAAAAATATGTATGTCGTTTCTATACGTCATCCGTACTTTCTGGAAATAGTTGCAATCGATAATAGCGTTTTTCCCGAATGCGGCGCACGAATATTGCGATGCGGTGTATTATTTACCTCGTTACTTCGCGCGGAACGGATCCTTTGGTTAGCAGCAGTATAGCAGCACACAGTGATGCGCGAGAAAAACAACTGTTATTCACTCGATCGCTATATGATGCGCGAACGACGCAACCAGCCGCAAGTGACACACTTTGCGCGCTCGTTACAAACAAACACCCGACTGAGGACTGAAGTGCACCGCCGAATCCCAACAATACGAAGCGGGCCAGTCGCCGGTCTTCTGGGGAGTGTCGTGTTCATGTGCCGAGCGCCTGCGTGTTTGTGTCCTTATTACAGACCTCAGATCCTCCGTTTATCGCGCGTGAAAATCCCCGAATTCCCAGCTGATGATTTTCGGTCATTTTCCGGTGATCAGGCAATTTAATAGCGTTTTTGAATGAATGGGTTTTAATCCATCCATTCAATTAATCACTATTTTACTATGAATTCAAGTCTTTAATTGGCAGAGACGATGCAATGACGTCATTGATCAATCTTGGGTCGATTAACCTGCTTCATTTGAAAACGCTATAAAAGATAAGCATCCACGTCGATCGTGTGAAAACTATAAGATTTACATATTTAATGCGCATATTTTTTAAAAATATAAAAATATTGCAATAATAACTTTATTAACTTTAATTATATTTAATTATTATTATCTAATATCGCTATTTATATATTAGAATAAAAAAATATTACGTGCTATTAACAAAAAGCATATTAATTAAACCGTAAATTCCCGTTTCTTGATTTATAATTATTATATAATTATCATTATATATTCTTGATCTATAATTTATAAATAGCATGAAGAAACATCAAATGATAGGAACAAAATTTGTTTTTGTCCTGGTTAGTCAATTCAATATAAGGGCCAATTTCACCAAGTCCGGTTAGATTAACCGACGGTTAAACCTAGCAGGGTGGCCAACAGAAAATAGAGGTGAAGGAAAACCAAGCATTCTTATCATTTCAGTTGAAACCCTGCTAATTTTAACCGTCGGTTAATCTAACCGAGCTTGGTGAAATTGGCCCTTATTCTACTCCATGAGTAGGATTTCTGAACACACCATGGCAATGTCGAAAAGGAAAAGTAGATGCGGAAAGAGAGAAACCTGAGAGAGGTCACGCGGCCATTTTTCATAAGACGCTTTTTCTAGCTAGTACAGTAGCGTCAACTAGATCCATTTTAGAGACGGCGAAACTACATGGCCAGATTCACTTTTCAATGCCACGGTAAAACAGCCGGTTGGTGCATGCCCGTGCTAGATTTATAATTGTGGATCAAAATTGCGGACAAAATATTATGGATTTATCAATGTTTTATTAGCTGTGCGTGATGTTTTGTCATTCCAGTATATACTACAGCGATAATAAATTATGATTGAAATATTTTTATGTATATGCGCGTGTGTGTGTGTGTGTGTGTGTATATAGATATCAAAACATGAATTTTTCTCCATTCAACTTTAGAAAATTTTGTTTAAAAAAACTGTATTTTATCATGTTTTAAAAAATTATTAAAAATTAAGGCTATTTAGAAATACAAAAGAAATGATTTTTAAAATTATCAAAGTTTAACAAAGAAACACATTTCTGAATAAATTCTATTATTAATTAATTATTATTAATTCTATTTAGAATAAACTAAATATATTTGATGTTTTTTTAATTGAAGACTGAAGATTGTTGTGTGTGTGAAACAGAAAAGATTTAAATAATTTACGCTTTTTATTTTGTTATTTTGTTATTTTCTTTACATGATATTATATAAAGTTATACATATATATGTATATTTTTTTATGTATGACAAAAAATATTAGTTGCTATAATCCGTTGAAGAGCAATATAGAACTTTTTATAATATGCAAAAAATTCAAACTACGATCTAATACCTTATCTAATATCTTACGTATTACAAAATATTCAAAATTGTATTCAAATTGCATTCAAATATTGTATAGTACAGTTATAGATATATGCTCTTCTTTGTTTACTATATTATACATATATATAGTACTTTATATACAAGAGAAACATCATAGTACAAAAAAATATTAGAATATCTTTCAACAAGTATATTCCTAGACTGTTTCAATCTAGATCTCGTTTTTCAATTCTGATTTTTATAGGTTCAGCAAAATTTAGCATCACGCCATAATTAAATTTAATTTCATCTATCGGAATGCTTTTATCTATTTTAAATACGAATGTTCGTACCAAAGTTGATAGAAAAACTTTCAACGAAATCATTGCATATTCCATACCTGCAAAAGTTTATCAATCACATGCAAATTAATTTTATACTGCATGTTATGTAATTTGTTTGTTCTTACCTATACAATTTCTGGGTCCTAAACTAAACGGCATGTAAGATGAATTAGACGTTCCTATATTTTCAGGAAGGAATCTGTCCGGATCGAATACTAACGGATTGGGCCAATACTTTTCGTTTCGGTGCATCGTCATTAATTGTAGAATAACATCAGCGCCTTTGGGTAAGATAATCTCTCCTAAAACATATATTTTTGCATTTTAATGTTATTATAATACCAGCATGATAATTAGCTCATAAATAAAGCAATAAGAATAGTATAAATTAAGTTATATTTTATTTTCAAGCAGATGTATATTTAATTTACAAAACGTTATTTTGTATTAAAAGATAAAATGGCTTTCTTAAATTTTTCTTTGTTAAACTTTGATAATTTTAAAAATCATTCCTTTTGTATTTCTAAATAGCCTTAATTATTAATAATATTTAATAAAATGATAAAATACAGTTTTTTTAAACAAAATTTTCTAAAGTTGAATGAGGATAAATTCATGTTTTGATATCTATATCTTTAAATATTGTTCTTAATTTGGTCATGATTCATAATCAAAATAAACTTCAAAAAAATTAAAGATAGGCAATAATATCACTTTTTTATCTAATCTACTTATTTTACTTTCAGTCGTTGCTTTGGTGATATCAATTAGAAAATGTTTTTTTATAAAGTGTTTTATTCAAAATAGCGATATTTAGATATTATGCACAGTTCTTATAAAATTTTTAGCGAAATAGTAAAACAGTGTACAACAAAAAAAAGTTGTTTCTTTTGGCACGAATAATCACGCAGTGCATTCCGTGTCCGCGAATTCTGGGACACCCTGTATAATAACGACATGTTTATATTTACAAACCTATGTTTAAATCCTCAGTTAGTTCTCGCGCAATTAGCGGAACAACAGGAAATAATCTCATAGTTTCCTTGATAACATTTTCCAAATAATTCATACGTTGTAAATCTTCGTATTTTATTGGGGTTGCTTTTGGAGTTTTGGTTCCGTAAATTTCCAATAATTCTTTATACACTTTTTCCTTTTATAAAATTAAATAAAATGTTTAATTATATAAATATAAATACATACAATATACATATACTATAAGATGGAATCTTATTAATTACATTTACAAAATTACTTTATTCTGTTATCGAAATGTTGATGATGATATACATATGTGAAGTAAATATTCTTGTATGGTTTCATTAAAATATTAACCTTAATTAAAACATGAAACACAAAGTTATTATTTAACCCACTTGCTCGCCTGTTAAAATAATGCTTGCTTTGTGAAAATTGTATTCTATTCATTAAATTTATTTTGTTAATAACTTTTTAATAAACAACGAGCGACAGCTTTTTGAATGTTACTCAGAAAACTTTTTGAAAGTTACTCAGAACCAGAGCCTTGATAATATAAATAAAGACCATTGAAATTTGTGAGATTGCTTCTATAGTGACTATAGTGCATAAGTAGGACTTATCCAGACGGATTTGCAAATTCACATAAACATATGCATGAAGAAATTGATTGGTCCATAAGCAAATGCATAAGAAAAGGAACCAATCAATTTCATTTCGCATATGTTTATGTGACTATGCAAATCCGTCTGTATAGACTCTTATCCAATATATAAAAAGATGACTCTGAGCAAGTTATTATTACAATAATAAAATTTATTCAGAAATGTGATTCTTAATTATTGCTCAAAAAATATAATTTCTATATTTATTGTAGAACTATATATATAATCTACAACGTATCATTTTTTAAATGAGCAAATAAATCGTTTATGATTGAATTTAATATATATACATACTTGTATCTCTGAGAAATTTGCTAATACAAAGGTCAAAAAATTCAAAGTGATAGCGTTTGTTTCACTGGTCTGTAAAAATTTCATTTATTTATTTGTTTATATATAAACACATATATAATCATATGTAAAGAGATACTTTATACATACCGCTAATAACATGAAAATTGTGTTATTATAAAGCACCTTCGTGAAATCATCTTGCACGAATTTTTCTTTTTGAGATGATCCCATCAGAATATCATAAAGCGTTTTATCTATTTTATTTAAAAAACGAAAAAATAAAATAATATGTGTTTGTTTATACATATAAATTAGCATGAGTATGTTAATTACTTTCTCATTTTTATGATATATATAATGTATCATATCAGACTTTATATTTTATATATATTATCACAAAAATTAAT